TTCTCCGGTCCGCATTTATGGACAGGAGAAAAGTGTCTGTTTTTCTACAAACCATCAGTAAATTTACAGACGGCTGACAACACGCGGCCACTGTGATTCTTTGTTTGTTTCGTGGCCATGACAAAAATGATCCCCTCTGTTGCGTTCTGTGGGCACAGTGCCTGATAACCGTGTTCTAGTCCAGTGAATGGGGCTGCTCTGTAAGCACCTCACAACTGCATGCAATGTATACGGCTGCGGTGTGCTAATGTGGCGTTCCAGGGGTTAACCCCTTCCTGTCCTCCCTATATCAGTAATACTGCTACAGGGCGCCACGGGAGCGCAAAATCACGTGTATGTGTATACCTGATTCTGCAGTTCCGGGTAGGGGGCGCATGTGACCTACCCGCACCGCTATTCACAGCCTCGGCTGTCAATCACCGGGTCCCGGAAGGTGATTACTTGCCAGTACCCGGTGATCGAGGAGAATTACTGATGAAGGGAGAGAACTGTAAGTAAACAATACAGATCTCTCCCCTGTCGGCTCCTGCACACTGCTTTGTATGGCTCTGCATAGCAGCACGTACACTGAAACACACCCAGCACACAGTTAACCCTTTGATCCACTCAATTAAACTTTTCCTGCCCAGTGCCATTAGTACAGCATCAGTGCTTTTTATTAGCACTGATCACTGTATTGGTGTCACTGGGGTGTCAATGGCAGTTAGTCAGTTCCCCCCAGTGTCAGAATGCCCTCCGCAGTCCTGCTATAAGTCGCTGATCGCCGCCATTACTAGTAAAAAAAATTTTTAGCAAAGAAATGTCACAGAATGCATTTTGGCCTAAATTTATGAGAAATTTTTTTTTTTTTTTTTTTACTGGACATGTTTAATAGCAAAAAGTAAAAAAAAAAAAGTTTTTTTTTTCTCAAAATTGTATGTTTTTTTTTGCGCAAAAAAAATTAAAAATGCACAGGTGATCAATACCACCAAAAGAAAGCTCTATTTATGGGGGAAAAAAGGACATAAATTTAATTTGGGTGCAGCGTTGCATGACCGCACAATTGTCAGTTAAAGTAACACAGCGCCGAAACACAAAAAATAGCCTGGTCAGGAAGGGGGGGGGGGGGGGGGGGAATCCTCAGGAGGGCGAGGGGTTAAAGAAGGTGGTGAGGAGGAGATACAACACCTCCTTGCTGCCTGCCAAATGCTCTCTGAAGAGTGATCTGAACACAGATTGCTCTTCAGAGACCAAAGCTAGTGTGAAGGAGCTCTTAAAGGGATTGTGGGCAGGAGGGGGTTAAACAGAAGCATGGCAGACTTGGGAGTTAAATATCTCTCAGTTTCTCCAACTAGTAGTCGGTCAGCATCCCATCCGCAATAGTACTTCAGGTGTCCCTAGACATGAAATCATGTCTGCAAAACCTTCTAGAACAGGGAGGGGGAGAAGGGAGGAAGATGGGGACAGGTCAGTCATAGAGCAGGGCTCACTCACCCCAAGCTGGGATCTGAAGACTCAGGCAGAGTCATCCATCATGCAGAGAGGGTGGAGCTTCCAGGGGCTGGATTTCATATCTCCCGCCCACATTCCCTTTCTGAGGCACTGCACTGGCTGTGTGTGGGCGGGGCAGACAGGGGGAGAGGGGCGGGATCAGCTGGAGCAGATCAAGTCCTGTCTCCTCTCCTGTCTATGCAGAGGGGGGGGGGGAGAGCTCGTTACCTGGAGTCTGGGACACAGAGACTTGGCAGATGCAGCCAGCCGCCCCTACAGATTGCTTCCCTGACCAATGGTTTGGCAACCCTGCTTGGGCACAGTATTCATGGGGGGTTGCCTGGGTGGGCGCAGCTGCAATCTGGGGGGGGGGCATAACCCACCCAGCACCCCCCTAGATTCGGCCATGGTTCATACCCATGTGATCTGATTCAAGCAAATGCAATATGTTCTGCAACCTGCTTTTGGGGAGTTGTTAAAGCGGAGTTCCAGCTGAACAAAAAAAAAATTAAAGTCAGAAGATACAAAAACTGGAGCTTCTGACCTATAAAATACAGACACTTACCTGTCCTTAGGTCCAGCGGTGTCCTCACCACGGCTGCTTTTCTTCTCTCGGGGAGAGAGGGGGGTGGAGAACAACTTCTGCTTCGAATGCCTAGGTGATCGCAGCGGAAGTGGGAGCGGGTACCTGTCAATTTCGGGTACCCGCTCCCCCCGCTCCCCAAAGGTGCCAATCCTTAATGGGGAACGAGGGACAAAGGCTTAAAGCGGAACTTCCCCTTTTGGGTGGAGCTCCGCTTTAACTTTTAGTTGACACCTGCAGCAGATGGCATGAACACAGTGGGATTGCTATGTGGTGGGGAAATGCAGCGATTCCTGTGCGTTTGTGTGTGAACTCAGCCTTAACCACAAAATACAACAAACAGAAACATGCCAATAGCATTTCACGCTGCGGTATATAACCCAGTTTTATGTCTTGTCTGCAGATGCAATTTACTATTTATAATCAAAATGACGTAAAAAAAAAAACAGATCAGTTCACAAATGTCGGAATATATTCCTTTAATTTATAAACATTTGCTTTATCCACAAACTTCCTGAAGATAAAACTGCAACACCAGCTCAGCCCCGCCCTGTGCTGAGAAATGTGAGACGACCTTTAGATTTTCCGTGTCGGAGACTTTCACTTTCATTTCTCTCTTCTGCTGTCAGCGATGGCGTCTGCTGATCTGAGAGAGGAGCTGGACTGTTCCATCTGTCTGAACATTTATACCGATCCTGTAATGCTGAGATGTGGACACAACTTCTGCCGGGTCTGTATTGATCGATCGTTGGATACACAGGAGGGGTCTGGAGGTTATTCCTGTCCTCAGTGCAGAGAAGAGTTCCAGGATCGGCCTGCATTGCATTGCAGAGGAACATCACACTACGTAACATAGTGGAGACCTTCCGGTCTACTCAGCCAGATGAGAAGAAGACTGGAATCTTCTGTACTTACTGCATTCACTCTCCTGTACCCGCTGTTAGATCCTGTCTGATGTGTGAAGCTTCTCTGTGTGATAATCACCTGAGAATCCACAGCAAGTCACCAGAACATGTCCTAACTGACCCCACCACTTCCATGGAGAACAGAAAATGTGCCATCCATAGGAAACTTCTTAAATATTACTGTGCTGCAGATGCCGCCTGTATCTGTGTGTCCTGCAGGTTTGGCTGGAGAACACCAGGGACACAAGGTGGAGACTCTGGATGAGGCTTCTGAGAAGAAGAAACAGAAACTGAGAAACGTTCTGCAGAAACTGATGACAGAGACAGAGAAGACGGAGAAAAGAGTCCAGAGTCTGCAGGAACGTAAGGGAAAAGTACAAGAAAAATCAGCTGGTCTAACAGGTCTAACAATTTTTTATTTTATAATTTTTTATTTATATTCTAATTTTTCTATTTTTTTTTTTTTATTATTATTTTTTCCGATATTTGAATTTTCCCAACTCCGTCCCAGATTATATGGTCCCTCTACCACAACATCGTGATCATATCTATGCATCATCCCCCCCCCGCTGCTTCATAAATAATTAATAATTCCATTCCCCGTACCTACATTTATATTTATATATATATATTATTATTACCTTATTAATACCTTGTCATCCAGTCCTCGTCGTCTCTTCTCTACTTTTAACTCTCTATTTTCTCCACCTACACCCCCACCCAGTACCTCACTCACTGCTCATGAGATTGCAAATCATTTCAAAAACAAGATTGACGCAATTCGTAGGGGCATCGCCACTGCACAGACATCCATCCCACTTAGCATACCTTATACTAAACCTCCCTCAACACTTTCCTCTTTTGACCTTGCTACTACCGAAGAGGTCACTAAGGTTTTCTCAGAAGCCCGTCTCACTACCTGCCCCCTGATCCTGTCCCCTCACAACTACTACTACGGTCACCCTCTTCTTCCATCCTATGCTCCCTCACTCACATCTTCAATCTTTCCCTCTCTACTGGTGCCTTCCCCTCCCCTCTAAAGCATGCGCACATCACTCCCATACTTAAAAAGCCCTCCCTGGACCCCACCAACCTGAACAACCTAAGACCCATCTCCCTGCTGCCATTTACCTCTAAACTCCTAGAAACTTAGTCTACAATCTGAGCCTGAGCTCCCCCACCTCACCGACAACAACCTTCTTGACCCTTTACAGTCTGGCTTTCGCTCATTACACTCCAGTGAAACTGCCCTACTAAAAACTCTCTAAATCTACTAACTGCTAAAACCAATGATCTACTAACTACTCATCCCAACCAATGGCCACTACTCCGTACTCATCCCAACCAATGGCCACTACTCCGTACTCTCATCCCAACCAATGACCACTACTCCGTACTCATCCCAACCAATGGCCACTACTCCGTACTCATCCCAACCAATGACCCACTACTCCGTACTCATCCCAACCAATGACCACTACTCTGTACTCATCCCAACCAATGGCCACACTACTCCCCAATACTCATCCCAACCAATGACCACACTACTCCGTACTCATCCCAACCAATGGCCACTACTCCATACTCATCCCAACCAATGACCACTACTCCGTACTCTTACTACTTGACCTCTCTGTGGCTTTTGATAATGTTGAACATCCCCTCCTCCTCAAAAAACTCCACTCTCTTGGCCTCAGAGACTCTGCTCTCTCCTGGTTCTCCTCCTACCTATCGCAGCGCTCCTTCAGTGTTACCTATATAAAGCGGCCTCCTCCTCTTCACTCCCTCTTTCTGTAAGGGTCCCTCAAGGTTCTGTCCAAGTCCCTTCTCTTCTCCATCTACACCTCCTCCCTTGGTCACTTGATAAACTCCCATGGCTTTAAGTACCATCTCTATGCTGATGACACACAAATCTATCTTTCTACCCCTCACCTCACCCCTTCAGTCTCCTCTCGCATTACTAACCTACTAAGTGACATATCGGCATGGATGGTCACTCCACTTCCTCAAACTCAATCTTTCCAAAACTGAGCTCTTAGTATTCCCTCCAGCCCGTGCCCCCCCCCGGACTTCTCCATCAAGATCAGTAACACAATCATCAGTCCCTCCCCTCATGCCAGGGTACTAGGTGTAATCCTAGACTCCCATCTGTCCTTCCAGCCCCAAATCCAATCACTGTCCAAATCTTGTAGACTTCACCTCCGCAACATCTCCAAGATACGACCGTTCCTAACCTCGGAAACCACTAAGCAACTTATTCACTCCCTTGTTATATCAAACCTCGACTATTGTAACTCCCTCCTCATTGGCTGACCTCATCGCAGGCTATCCCCTCTTCAGTCTATAATGAATGCTGCTGCCAGACTCCTCCACCTTACTAACCGTTCTGTATCTGCCACCCCTCCCTCTCTGCCAATCCCTCCACTGGCCTCCACTCAGTGTCCTTCACCCCTCTCTGCCAATCCCTCCACTGACCTCCACTCAGTGTCCTCCACAATCCCTCCACTGACCTCCACTCAGTGTCCTCCACCCCTCTCTGCCAATCCCTCCACTGACCTCCACTTATTTTTTTAATTTATTTACTTATTTTTTATTTTTCATTTTTATATTTCATTGATTGTTTTTTAAATTTAGTAATTTTTTAATTTTACTCTTTATTATTTTTTAATTTCCCAATGTATATATATTTAATGTATTTTAATTTTATTTTTTTTATTTTATAATTTTTTTATAATTTTTTGTGTATATATATTTTTTTTTTAATATATATAAACATTTTAGATATTTTATTTTTTACATATATAATCACATTTGATTTTACATTATTATTTTTCATTTTGACCATTTCTATTTTTTTTATTCACATTTTATAAATATTGATAACCAAATGTCTTTTTTTTCCACTCCTCGCAAGTTTTCCACTCTTTTCCCGTTTCTCCATTTTTTTTTCCCATACCATTTTATTTTCATTATTAATAACTTCTTATTTTTCATCCATTTACTTTTAATTCTCTTCCCGTACTCTTTTAACCACACAGTGTCACCTTACAACAATGGTATAATCACATTATTGCTGAAACAATTGGTTAATTAATTACCAATCAGCCCCTCTGAGGATTAACTTGGTATATATACAACTATCGGACTCCCACTTCCCCTTGCTTGATAAAGGAGCGCACTTCCGCCTCTCCAGGCCAGCGCATGCTCTGAAATGCGTCGCAGTGCACCTTGGGTAACTGACGTCATCATACACGTCATCGCTGCGTTCCAGCGTGCGTTCCCCCCGGCTTTGAGGAGGACGTGCACGCCGGCCGGCTCCACAGCTGTCCCCCTCCAGCCACCACGCTGCTCCAGCGGAACGCTGACACATTGTTACCGATGACAGCTCAGTGACACCGATGACAACCCCCTCCTGTCCCATGTTACACCACACCACTTTATTTCATGCATTACTTGTACCTCATACATGGGAGGGTTCCTACTTCTCATCTTCATTAAAGTGTTATGCTGCACTTAGAGGCGCTTCTTCTCCTTCTCTCATCCTAACAGAGAGAGTCACTGCCCTGTTCATAGAGCTCAGGAGACAACTGGAGGACCTGGAGAAGAGAGTCCTGAGGGAGATCGCCAGCCAGGAAGAGCGGCTTTCATGTCCATTGTCTGAGATGATCCATCAACTGGAGATAAAGAAGAAGGATCTGTCCAGGAAGATGGGGGACATTGAGGAGCTGTGTAACATGACCGACCCCCTGACTGTCCTCCAGGAATCAGACACAGGGGACTTGTGTGATACTGAGGAGGGAGATGATGAGGACAGAGAGAGACATGATAGACTCCTCCATGATGGAGGGGATCTGGATGGGGCTGGAATCTCACACACATTACACACAGGGATATCTGATATGATAAAAGGGGGAAATGTATGCTTCAATATACAGGAAGCTTCAGACTTATTACTGGATGTGAACACAGCTCATAATAATCTACAGATATCAGATGACATGAAACTGCATCCAGGTCAGATAGATGGCAGAATCGTCCAGAAACACCAGAGAGATTTCAGTGCTATAGCCAGGTATTAAGCAGTCAGAGTTTTTCCTCGGGGCGACATTACTGGGAAGTGGATGTCAGTGAGGGAGAAAAGTGTGAAGTCGGAATGTGTTATCCCAGTATAGAGAGGAGAGGAGGAAGGCAGTCAGGGATTGGATATAATAACAAGTCCTGGAGTTTGAGGAAGTATAACAGTGAGTGTTATCTATTACATGATAATAAAACAATCCGCATATCTCCCGATACCCCCCCTGATAGAGTCAGGATCTATGTGGATTATGAGGCCGGGCAGCTGTCCTTTTATGATCTGTGTGACCCCATCAGACACCTCCACACCTTCACCACCACCTTCACTGAGCCCCTCCATGCCGTATTATGGGTAGGAAAAGGTCGTATAAAGATATCTGGGGGGGGTCAGGAGACGTGTAAAATGATCAATATGACAGGAAATCTGACCTGTCTGGTGAAATCTGCTGAGAAATGTGAATCTGGTTCATAGGATGACACCGTTTGTAGAGATAATATATTTCTTCAATCGGTAGATCTGGTAGATCTCAGCCGAGGAGAGTGTCCTCCATCACTTCCACACCCAACAAGGCAAGATTTGGGGGGGGGGGGGGGGGTTATTTAGCATTAGGCTGACCACACACTATACAATCTGATTGTACAATAACCTTTAGATCTCCCATCAGCTGTGTAGTATACGGGTCTGCCTGATGTGACCCGGGGGGGGGGGGGGGGGTTAAAAACTTGAGCACTCAGAATCTGGTGCAGCTGTGCATGGGAGCCAATCAGCTTCTAGCTTCTTCTTGCTCAATTAACCCCTTTAATCCTAAGGGTAAAACAAATGTTAATGCCTAAGCACAATTTTGTAACTTTGACATGTGTTAGTGAATCTGTACATATCATCACTACTACTGTGTGCATCCAGGTGGATTATACCGCAAATTATTTCAGGAGAAATTGCTCTTTCATTTGATGGTAAATGGTAATGGAATATCTCCTAATTTTTTTTTATTATCGATAATAGTAAAATAAATCATTTTTTTTTATTTAGCTGTATATTTCTTGCTTCTTCCATAACCTATCACCAAAGAACAACCCAAAATAAATTCTCCTGCTCCTGATGATCGCAGTGATACCACATGTGTGTATGTTAGTTGTGTTTGTACCCGTAGTACAGCCTAGAATCAACAGAGTGCATTCTGATTTTTTTTTTTTATCCTACATAAAACACACCGACACTAACTGACACTGACACTGATTTAGAAAAAAAAATCCTGATCAAAAAAATACTGACCCTGACCTTGACCCAAACACTAACCCTGGCACTGACCGAGGTCTGACAAACCTCCATCTAGGTTTTTTTTTTTTTTCAATTATTAGTTTTTATAATATTTATTACACACAGTTGTTTTTTTTTCTCTCTGCAAGGAGAGAGGTAGATAAAATGTATCTCTCCTACATTCAGAGAGAGAAAACACGGGGGTGGGCTTCACAATGACTGATCTCTGTGATAGCCAATAAAAGGCCATCACAGCAATCAGGTGACCTGGAATCATTCTGTGCTGGGAGCGTGCTGCATTTAGAGGAAGGGGCGGAGCTTCCCCCTCCAAACCTGCTGGCAGTGCCCCGCCTCCTCCTGATGTAAGGTATTAGGGACTCTGGGGAGTGGACCCTGATGGAAGGAAAGGGGAGGGCTCTGGGGAGTGGACCCTGATGGAAGGGGGGGGCTCTAGGGACCCTGATGTAAGCAGAGGGACTCTGGGGACCCTGATGTAAGGAGGTACCTTGATGTAAGGTGGGGGTGAATATAGGGACCTCGATGTAAGGAGCGATGTTCCAGGAACCCCGATGGGGAGTGGACCCTGATATAAGGAAGTAGGGGCTTTGGAGATTGGACCCTGATGTAAAGAAGGGGGGGCTCTGGGGAGTGGACTCTGATTGAAGCAGAGAGGGCTCTGGGAAGCCTGATAGAAGGAGGGGGGGGGGGATCTGGGGAGTCTGATGGAATGAAAGGGACCCTGGAGACCATGATGGAAGGGAGGATTGCACTGGGAACACTAATGTAAGGAGGGGGCCCTGAGGACCCTGATGTAGGGAGGAGGGGGAACCCTGATTTAACAAGGAAAACTCTGTAGACTTGGGGACCTTGTTATTTTGGGTGGCTCTGGGGGCCCTAAAGTAAGGGGGGTAACTCTAGGGACTCTGATATTAGGGGGACTTTGTTTGAGGGGGAACACTGATGGGGATTCTTAATTTAAGGGGGGGGGGGATCATCCACTCCCACGAGTCCCTCCAACTGTTAGACAAAATTTGTCCACTGTGTCACTTACTACTGACCTCTGAACTCTGGGTCACTACTGACCTCTGAACTTTGCTTCCCTTACTACTGGCCCCTGTCCTTCGCTCTGCTGACCCCTATCCTCTGCCCAGCAGACACTGCCCTTCTGACCCCTTCCCCAGCAGATCCCAGTACACTGCCTTTGGGATCCCTGTCCGCTGCACAGCAGACCCAGTACTTGCCCTTCTGACCCCTGTCCTGACCCCTGTCCCGCCCAGCAGATCCAGTACACTGCCCTTCTGACCCCTGTCCGCTGCACAGCAGATCCAGTACACTGCCCTTCTGACCCCTGTCCTCCACCCAGCAGACCCAGTACACTGCCCTTCTGACCCCTGTCCTCCGCCCAGCAGATCCAGTACACTGCCCTTCTGACCCCTGTCCTCCCGCCCAGCAGCCCAGTACACTGCCCTTCTGACCCTGTCCTCCCCCAGCAGATCCAGTACACTGCCCTTCTGACCCCTATCCTCCGCCCAGCAGATCCAGTACACTGCCCTTCTGACCCCTATCCTCCGCCCAGCAGATCCAGTACACTGCCCTTCTGACCCTGTCCTTTGACAACGTGCTGGTGCACGAAACGCATCAGCAAGGAGCCCACCGGAGTGACGTCGACACACCACGCACGGCTACGAGGAGGCCGGCGGCCATTTTTATATACTGTACCTTCACATGTGAGTTCTTTGACTTCTATTTAAAATATTTGCCTTTACAATAAACATACTTCACTATTGGCACATATCTACTCTCTGGCTGGGTTATTCATGAGCCCTGCAAGGTGGAACCTTTTTCTGGATCTGGAGGGTCCCTGTATGCTGTGATCTTTGGAGCTGGATGGGTATATGAGCGGAGTGTGACCCCAGTGTGAGCAGTGTCATCCCATGTGTCCACATTGAGCTTGAGGACCCCCGCAGCCCTAGACCAGACCCAGATGACCTTCCCCCTTTTTGGATGTCTTTTCTGCACATGAAAATATGTGCTTCTGGTAAGTCCATAGTGTTACCGGTTCTTATCACCTGGAGTCACGGAACACGGAGCACGGAGCACCTTAATATCTGGATTATTGATGCATTTGACTGTATGAACTTCTAGAAGTTGTCACCTTGATTTTGGTGTTCATAACATAAACGTCATCATTAGACGGTGTCCTCACATTGTCACCTTTGCCCCCTAGCAGCGCTCAC